AATCCTTTGTTGTAAAGAATTTCTCTCTAGGAAATGAAGGTGATACAAAAGCAAAGTTATCGATATGAAAACATTTTCAAAGAACAAAAGAGAGCCTGAGTTCCTTGAGAACAAGGATGGTTCCATTTTTGTCTTTGAATCTCCTCACTCCAAACACAGTAACTTACACGTAGTTGGCCTTAGTAACTGGCCATTGTTTGATTAATGCCAGAGCTGTTTCCACACAGGGAAAGGGAGGAGGAAGCTTGATGTGGACATGGGTGGAGTAGGGCTGAGGTGGATGGGTATGAGAGGTCAGGGAATGGTAGCAGCACAGAAGGCTGGCTTTTCCCAAGGGCGGCTGACAATTCTGTATCACCAACATCAGGAGTGATGGCAGAGGGTAGCATCTGTAGGGAGATGGAGAGGTTGGGTCTTTGTGTCACTTTGCTCCTAGGTGAGCATGGCGCTTGGAGGGCTCTGTGAGCCACTCTGTACGTGCCCATGACTTAGGGGTACTACAGCGACAACAGCAGCCTACCTTGGTTCAATGCCCTCCCATCCTTTGAGCCTACAGAAATTCCATATGTCACTATTAGTTACACAATGAAGATGTGATAGCTGAGTTGTGTCATACCTAAGCCCACTGCCAGGTGGTCTCATCAGAGTTAGCCTGCCAAGTACCAAGCCATAAAGGGAAATATTGCATGAAATTCTTTTAAAAATACGTGAACGTCTATAACTAGCAAACTCCCAAGCGAGTCCTACAGATGGACTTTTCTCGATTGAATGACCCTCCATATTCACATATTCAGGCAATAAGCATACTGTTTATTAGAGACAGAGAGGGATAAGAACTGGATCTTAGCTTAATTCTTAATTTAATTGATGTAGGGAACTCTCAGATGAAGACAGACCCTCTACCCATTCAGTAACACCATCTCTGCCACTGATATCCTGTAGGACAGAGCTGCCTAGAGCTATGAGAGTGAAGCCAGGTCTTCCTGGCATTGAGGCAGGCTCTCTATCCAGCATTTTAGGTGTAGTGTAAATAAAAGAAATGTTATATGAGTGCTCCCCACATGGAGCTCCCCACAGCTGTCTCCTCAAACTCCCAAATAGTGGTGCTTAGGAAAGGTTCCAGTGCACCCATGCCCATAAATTGAATAGCAGGAATTGGGCAGAGGGAGCACCACATAATAGGGCAACTGGTGTCTGGAGCCAAGGAGTTTCAGCAAATAAGGCAAGGAGTCTCCCCCATTCCTGATTCACTTTTCTTTGGGTTTTGAGACAGCCGATTGACTATGCAGAGCTTTCAAGGAGCTCCTCTCTCTGACTCCAGCTTCTGCACGAAGTCTGGTTATTTCTGAAGCACTGTCTACAGCACCGTTCCTAGACACTGGGAGAAGCTCAGGTCATGGCTCCTTATAGTTTAATTTGGAGTATATTAAGACAACTGTCAACCCAGAAATGTGATTCCCACAACACAGTGGGTTCCATTGTGAGTGGGGGACCATGGGCTGGCTGCAGTAGCTTTCTGACCCTTGCACCCCAAATGACAAGAAGTCTCAAGGGCAAAGGAAAAGGAAATAGACAAGTCCAATCTAGTGCAGCCTGCATCCCCATCCTTCCGAGCAGCTTTCAAATCAGTTTTGCCATATCAGAATTCCTAGGGGTCTGTCAGCTCCTGACCGAGATGAAACCTTTGATAGATGGGGTCCTGTTAGCAAGAAGTTCAGTATCATGTATAAGGTCCTGGGCTTGGTCCAGTATGACAACAGAGGTTTTACCCAATCCCAGCTTGGTGGTAACTAGCCAGAGCTGACCCACTGTTGGAGTAAATCTGGGTCAGGTAAGAGGACAACAAGGGATAAGGATAACTGCTCACAGTCCATAAAGACCCAGCCCTGCTCCTAGCCGATGGTTCCTTCGTTGGCAGTAACCAGCAGCTGATGTGTGGTGCTAGGTCTATCCAACCTTCCCGTGTCTCATTCCTTCCCCACCCTGAGGTCAAACACACAGAGTCTGCTTCTTCACTGAGAAGACAGAGCTGATGGGAGCTCCTTCAGCCTTAACATCATCACCCTCCACCGTCTCTGTCTGTCCAATCCCAGGAGAGCTTGTCTTAGTGAGTAGAAGGCATTCCCTCTCACCTTATCCAGAACCTAGTCCCCTCATTGTTAGCGCATCTTCAAGCTTTCTGTGGCTGCTGGCTTCTTTCCCTCATATTCCCCCTCTCGATGCATTGTAAACCCCAGTCAAACTGGAGTATTCTCTGCTCCCTGGACAGTCCCTGTCCCCTCCCACGTTGGTGCCCAGGCTACAGCTTGTGCCTGGAACGTGCTATCTTCTCTCCTGTCTCTGTCCCCTCTTGTACCTATCCTTTTAAGTATTTCAAATGCTTCTTCCTACAGGAAGTCCTCTGGTTCCTCATTAATAAAGACTGTCATCTTCATCTTTTCTTAAAACTTAATATTTATTAGGTGACTTCTGTTGTTGTTCAGTCATTTCAGTTGAGTTAGACTCTTTGTGACCTCCTTTGGGGTTTTCTTGGCGCTGGAGTGGATTGCCATTTCTTTTCCAGTTCATTTGACAGATGAGGAAACTCAGGCAAACAGGGTTAAGTGACTTGTCCAAGGCATGGCTAGTAATGTGTCTGAGGCCTTATTTGAACTCAGATCTTCCTGACTCCAGGACCGGTGCTCTGTCCACAGAGCCAATCTTTTGTTTGCTCTTCTCAAATACACATATGTGACATTGCATATCATATCGTTGTTTTTGTTCTTCTCACTATTAGACTGTGAGCTCTGTGAGAGCAGGGACTGTCTAAAATTTGTTGATGTCCCCTCCCCTTCTCTGTCTCTGTCTCTCTCTTTCTCTCTCTCTCTGCCTCTCTCTGTCTCTGTCTCGGTCTCTGTCTCTCTCTTTCTCTCTCTCTACCTCTCTCTGTCTCTGTCTGTCTCTGTCTGTCTCTGTTTTTCTCTCTCTGTCTCTGTCTTTCTGTCTCTCTCTGTCTCTCTGCTTCTCTCTGTCTCTGTCTCTTTCTCTCTCTGTCTTTCTCTCTGTCTTTGTACACAAACACCCACAAAAAACACACATACGCCCTGCAGAAGTCCACAAACACTTTATTAAGGGCAGATGGAGAGATGCACACAGATGGAGCCTATGCCTCAGTTCCTTGCTAAAGGCAGTGTGGTTTAATGCATAGAACACTGAATTTGGAGTCAGAAGTCTTTGACTCTTCAATTAACTGTGTACTCTTCAAGCAACTGGGGGTATATTAGCTCGTTATGAGCCTCAATTTCTTCCTCTGTAAAGTGAGGATGTTGTTAAATGTTGGTAGGAGGTATTCTATAGCAGGGATTCTATAAAGCCCTTAGCAAACTCGGGGTGATCCTTCAGAACTCAGATTCTAACCTCCCTCTTGGTCTCCTCCCCTCCACACAGCTGCCAAGTGGTCTCTTACATTCCTAAAGCTCTGGTCGGACCTCGTTAACTACCTACCCAAAAACCCTCAATAGCTCCCTATTACCGCCAGGATAAAATGCAAATTCCTCTGCCTTGTATTTAAAGTTCTCCCCAATATGACTCCAATTTACTTTCTAGCCTTATTTCTTATTAGTCTCCTAAAAATTTGGGTCCCAATTAAACAGCTCCCTGCACATGCCCCTCCACATCCTGCCTGCCTTCAACTTAGTCTGGAAGGTGTGCCCTCCTTATCTCTGGCCCAGAGAATCTCTAGTTTCCTCCAAAGCACCACAAAAGGGCCACCTCCTCCGGGAGGTCTCTCCTGATTCCCTCCATCGCTAATATTCTCTCTTTCTTAAAATTACTTTGTACTCTTTCACAGATACTATGCAATACTTATTTACTGGTGTATATGTTGTAACCCCCAAGCAGAATTAAACTCTAGGGCAGGGACTATTTCGGTTTTGTCTTGGTGTTCCCAGCATCTCAAACAGTGCCTTGCACATAGTAGGTGCTTAATAAATGGTTAGTGAACTGAATTGCTTTCTTGAAACCTTAGTTTCTTCATCTGTAAAATAAGGAAGGGTCCAAGGGCACTTTCAGTTCCAAATCCTATGATTCCCTCTTCTGCCTCACCTACTGTCCTAAGATTATCAGACTGTGTGGGCACCTAGGTGGTGCAGTGGATAAAGTGCCAGGTCTGGAGTCAGGAACACCTGGATTCAAATCATGCCTCAAACACTTACTAGCTGTGTGACTTTGGGCAAGTCATTTAACTTCTGTTTGCCTCACTTTCCTCATCAGTGAAATGAGGGTAAAAATAGTACCTACCTCCCAGGGTTGTTGTGATAATCAGATGAGATTATGAGTACAAGCACTTAGCACAGTGCCTGGCACATAATAAACACAAGACAAAAGTTAGCTCTTATTATTTCCCAAGGCTGCCCTTGGTAGCATGACTGCCTCCCCCACCTGGAATAAGAAGCACTATGTGTGTGGAAGGGGGAGAGAGGGAGAGACAGAGAAAAAGACAGAGAGAGAACATGGGTAGGTGGACTTAGAAGTCCCCCACATACAAGGAATTGCCACCAATGCTCAAGGAGTCCTGCCTTTAGGCAGGTGAGTTTTGGTACCCATGTGTTCAGAAGAGGGCTGGGGAGTGTGAGAGAGATGAAGAAAGGCCCAAGCCTTAAAGGGATAGCCCAATATGGTAGAAAGAGTAGGGGCAAGTCCTGATTCCTGCCATGACTCACTTGGTCACAGAGCAAATCACTAGCCTTCCCTGGGTCTCAGTTGTCCTATCTGAATGGGGATAACCATGGCACTGATACTGATGTGGCTGTTCTGAGGAAAGCACACTAAAGCACTAAAATTAAATGAAATCTACATCAGCTGGGCCAGCACCGAATCTAACATTTGTTGTCTCAATTAATTTGATTCTACTTTATTAAGTGCTAAGGTTTTTGTTTATTTTCCTTATTTAAAGAAAATAGTCCCCAAATTTGAAATTTAAAAACAAAGAACAAAAAAGTCCCAGTGCTTTAAAAATAATAAAAATAAAAAATAACCCCCCAAAAAAATAAACTCCTAGAACAAATTAAAAAATTACAAGTCTCCTGTTATATTCCAACCCCCTTCACTATATCAGTACCCATACTTCATCCCTACCCCACCTTCAGCTCTCTGCTCTCTCTTTCCTCTCCATCCCACACCCTTCACAGAAGTTGCCTTGGCTCCTTCTCCTCACCCAATCACTCACCACCTCTCCCACCTGGAAGGGACCTCAGGGATTTCTAGTACAACCAGTCCCTGAAGAGGGGCCTTTCTAAAACATCCCACACAGGTGGTCCTCTGGCCTGTGCTTTAAAATTGTCCAGTGATAAAGAACGCCTGTTACAGTATTACAGCTATTACAATAGCCCTTTCCCTTTTTTTAGTGGCCAGGATAATTCATTTTTCCTGCTGAAATCTGCCTCCCCTCTCTCCCTTACCCCTCCTCCTCTCCCCCCTCTCCTAATTCTACCTTCTGAGAACAAGCAGAATAAATGGAATCCTTTTTCCAGATCAATCCTGGTCACCCTCCTTCACACATCTTCTAGCTCATCAATGCCTTTCTTAATATGTTGTGCCCAGAACCTAATACTCTCCTCCAGATGAGGGGAGAAGGATCCCATCAGGTCTGAGCCCAGTGGGGCCACCCCCACCTTTGGTCTGGAGGCCATCCCCTCCCTCCTTAATGCAGCTAGGATAGAATTAGCGTTTCTTGTCTGCCATGTCACAGTGACTCTTTTTTCAGGGCAACTATTGTCTAGACCTGCGTCCTCAGTCCTATTTATGCAATTGCCTCTTGATGCTATGTACCAGCATGCTGTCCCCCCACTCTACTCCTGACAGGGTCAAAACAGCTGTATTTTCTATAGGGCTTTAATGTTTAGTGGGAATTGGTATTAGATCAGAGGACTATGGAGCTGAGCAGAGGGGCCTTGGATGTCATGTGAAATTATCACCATTTTAAAGATGAGGAAATTGAGGCCAAGAGAGTGATTGACTTGCCCAAGATCACACAGCTAATGAGAGGCAAGGCTGATACTCAGCCTACGTCTCCTGACTGTCCACAGCTCTTTGCATTACACCAAAGCCAGAGGTCTCAATTTCTTCATCAGTGAGAAAGTTGGATTCTGTGATCTCCAAAGTTCCTTCCATTTCTAAAATCCTATCAACCTGTCAATCGATGAGCAGTTTATTAAGTGCCTACTCTATGCCAGTCCCTGCCCTCAAAGTGTCTTAAATGTTCTAAGTACCTTAGACCTCAGACCTCAAGGTCCAAGGCCAGCCTCCAGGCTAGGAGGCAAGTGGTTCAGAGCATTTCAGGTCCAGCAGTCTCTAGGATGGGACTCTGCCCTCTAAGTCATTCCTCACAGTCCCCCAGCCTTTCATCTCTGTACTAGGTCAAGAGAGAATGGCTACAAGGGTCTGGGTCACAGACCAACAGAGGTCTGAGGTTAGAGAGAGTTGGGACCAGCTCAAGGGTGACCCCCTAGGTCCCTACTTCTCTTTGATTCAGATTCCCACTGTTACCACCACACTGGAAAAGAATGGATACAAACAGGATCACTCATTCTGTCTTCTGCCAGCTGTCCTAGTCAAGGCAGGAACCAGAGGGCCAGGGCTGTAAAAAGCAGTTGATCCCTAGGAAGGGTCAAGCCTTGAGCCCCGCAAAGCCTTGGAGAGCCCCCAGTGGATACCTGCAAGGAAGAGAGGAGCTCAATCAAACACTTGTTAAGTGTCTACCACGGGCAAGCCCCTGGGGTTGCAAAGACAAAAACAAAAAACAGGTCTTGCCCTCAAAGTGTTTACACTCTGGAGAAGAAGGTATGACATGGATACAGTTAAGTAAAAACCAGGTCATTTGAGGAGGAAGCACTAACAGTTCTGGAAGCAGAAAAGTCTTCCCATAGAAAATGGTGGACAAAGTGAGCTTTGAGAATGAAGCAATGAATTCCAGATCTGTCCAGGGTCCTGGATGCCGGAGATAGGTATGATGGGGTTAAGAGGATAAGAAGTTAGAACCACCAATTCTTCTCTACAACATGACCAATAAGAAAATATGTTTAATGGGAATGTATATGTAGAGCCTATGTCAGATTGTATGCCATCTTGGAGAGGGAGGCTGGGAGAGAGGGGAGAAAATTTAAAACTCAAAAGCTTATAGAAATGATTGTTGAAAACTAAAAATAAATAAATGAATTAATTAATTTTTAAAAAATCAGAACCAGTTAGGCTAGGATACAGTGTGTGTAAGTGGGAAAAACATGGCATTGATCTGAAAAGACAGATGAGAGCGTCGTGGGGCAGATTAAGGAAAGGCTCGTATTTTCCTGGAGCATTTTGCATCCATCACAGTCTCCCTTGTCTCACATTTATCTGGATGTCATGTGTTGCCTATTAGATTGTAAGCTCCTCAAGGCAGGGACTCTGTCGTTTGCATCTTTGTGACCCCAGAAGGAGCATAGAGCCTTGCAAATAGTGAACAGTTAACAAATTTTGGTTGAAATAAATCAAAAGGAGGAGGTTAGGCAATTAATGAACGTGTTTGGGAAAGCTACTTCCCTATACAGAGGGGGCTGAGGCTTCCCAAGTAAAAGGTCAGCCCTAGTTTGGGGTGGGCTGCAATTTGAGGGCTTCAGGCTGCTTGGGAACAAGGTAATTCTTTGAAGAGGAAGAGGAGCTCAGGCTGGGGGTGCTTGAGCCTGGAGAGACTCAGAAAATTCATACCTGGGTGGGTTGGGGGGGCTTCAGTTGGTTGAAGAGGCTGTGCCCAGAACCAGGGGATTCCTGCAGGTATGTTCCAGGTGGAAAGACAGAGGGGCCCCACCTTAGGACTGTCTGGTTGCCAAAAGCCAGGATAGCATTTTCTGGTGAGAAAGAAGATGGGATACTGTGGGTAGGATCTAAGCTAGCTTCTTCCCTGTCTGCCCTCTGTTCTGTCAGCCATCATCCCCAGCCTCTTCTGTCTCCTCTGCTTCTGTTCCATCCTCCAGCCCCCACCTCTAGCTCCAAATACTTACGAAGACAGGGATTCCCCACAAAGAGCCCCAGGAAGGTCTCGCATTCTTCAAGCCTGTTCCCACTGGAGCTGCAGCTACACCAAGGTGCCACAGCAGTGCTTACATTGTCCACATAGTTGGGTGTGATGGGGGTCCCTGGGAAGGGAAGAAAAAAGGCCCAAGATAGCTGTCTCTCTTTGCACCTAAGACACCTCTTCCTCACACCCAGGATGACTCTGTAGGTGCCCCACTCTCTATATCCTGGATGCCTGAATAGATACTCTCCCCCTGTATCTTCGATGCTCTTCCATAAGCATCCTCAAACACATTAAAAACTCTGTAGATGCACGGCGTCCCTATACTCTTAACCCTCAGGATGCTCATGCAGGGAGGACCCTCCCAGGGCACGCAATAGAATGCACTTATCCCCATGCTTAGGATGGACACCCACTTGTGTTCAGGACACCCATGTAAATGTCCCCCTTCCAATAACCATTTTGCTGTGTAGACATCCTCCCACCTCATACCCAGCATGCCTCTGGAGGTGACATTATGCACAGTACCTAGGGAAACACACATACCCTTTACCTAGCCTGCCCTCATATAGATGCTCAATTCCCATATACAAGAAGGCTGTGACGATGCAGTCAGAACTCCCAAACCTAGGGGGTCAGCGGAAGCACTCTGCTCCCTATCCACCCCACCCCCAACAAGGCTCTCTAAGGATATTCTACCCTCCCTTTATCTCCTTTTGGGAGGGGGCTAGGCAATGGGGTTAAGTGACTTGCCCAGGGTCACACAGCTAGTAAGTGTTATGTGTCTGAGTCCGGATTTGAACTCCTCCTGAATTCAGGGCCAGTGCTCTATCCACTGTGCCACCTAGCCGTCCCCCTACCCTCCCTTTATCCCGGAGGCTGTGTAGATGCCACCTTCTTCCTGTACCCAGGTCACCCAAGTAAATTAAGCTCCGTCCCTAGATCCAGGATGCCTGCGTGGACACTGCTAGCTCATACCCAGAATGCCAGTGTAGGCCCATAGGCAGCTGGGGGAATCCTCGTGGATGCATCCACTCGGGGTGAGCAGGGATGGCTGGCAGGCTGTTTGGAACTCGGCCAAACGGGACCTGGTGGGGACGGAGGACAGTGCTGGGCTCTGCGCTGGCCGCGCTCCGCGGGCCTCGCTTGGGCCGCTCTGGGTCCTCTCTGCCCTTGGCTGCCCCGGCTCACCTGCACACGTAGCCCCGGCGGCAGGCGTCCAGCGGCGCCAGGCAGTTGGGCTGGACAGCGGCGGCGGGGGCGGCACGAGGCCCGAGGCTGGGGCCGGGGCCGTAGGAGCACGCCGGGACGATGGTCTGCCTGCGGCGCTCGGCGCACGCCGCGTCCCCCGGCCCGCAGGGGCAGAAGAGCAGCGCGTGGCTGAGCGCTGGCTGGACCCGGTCAAAGAAGCGGCGCAGGGCCCGGTGGCAGCGGGTCCGGGGGCAGCCGCGGGCCCCGGCCCTCAGGCACAGGGCCGCGTAGTCCGCCCGCAGCCGCTGGCACAGCCCGTCCACGTTGCAAGCCTTGGCCGCGTCTAGGCAGCGGTTGCCTCTCGGGGACGGGCTCTCGCCCTCGGACCCTGGGTGAAAAGGTGGGGACAGAGCGAGGCCAGCTTTATAATCCGCCCTCGCCCCTCTCCCGAAAAGCCGCCCCCGGGACCTCTTGCTCCAGGGCAGAAGGCTTCGTCCTCCTAATGTGGGCTGGGAGTGGAGCTGGAGAGGAATAACATTTTCAAACGACTAACGTTTGGAACAGGGAAAAATACAGTGGGTAAAATATGGTGAACAACTCCGACAGCGGATTGTCCCGGCTGCCAGTAAGGCAAATCACACAAAAGTCAGGTAACGGAATCACGTGAAAGACACATTATTCCCCCAAAAGTGGATGGCCAAACATATATCCCATATATATCTCAGATCAGGGGTTTCTTAACTTGGGATTCATTAACTTGGTGTTTAAAAAAATTTTAATTACAGTATTTCAATATGCTTTGTTTCTTTTGTAATCCTATGTATTTTATGCACTTTAAAGCATCATTCCAAAAAAGGGGTCCCTAGACTTCACCAGACTGATAAATAGGCCTGTGGCACCAAAAGAGGCTAAGAACTGGGCTAGAAGATCCAAAAGACAGATTCTTTTTAATGAATAATACAAAGTGAATAATCCCCCAAGCAGACTGTCTTTCCCCAACCCTGGCTCTCCCTGGCTCCATCACTATGATGAGATCGCAGAGCAGTGATGAGAGGAAGAAAGAAGCATTTTTATATAGCACCTATATGTGCTAAGCACTATGCTAAGCCTTTTACAAATATTATTCCATTTGATTCTATAACAACCTTAAGAAGTAAGTGCTGTTATTATCTCCATTTTACTGAAGCAGATAAAGGGTAAAGGATTTGCACACTTTAAAGGTCAAACATCTAGTAAGTGTCTGAGGCCAAATTGGAACTCAGGTCTCCCTCAAGTAACTGACTCCCTGAAGTGACTCCGAGCTGCAGCCCCTGGCAAAAGACCAGGATAGGAGCAACAAGGGTGTTTGGCCTTCAAGGACAGGAGAGTTCTCCCATCAGTGGCCTGAGGAAAGTTAGGTGCTGCCTGGAACTTGGTAGCCCTGGAGAAAGTTGTTGGGTGTGGGGAGGATCTGTGAAGGGAGGCTGATTCCAAATGGGGGAGACTGGAGGTGTTTGGGTTCTCAGGGATGGCTGAGGGCTTTGGTGGGGTACATACCTGCTGTAATAGCTGCCAATCCAACGTAGTCAAGGCCTCTAATGAAAGGCTCATAGGGGGAGCTTTCTAGTATCATTTCTTGGGATTCATGGGGGGGGGGGGAAGAAAGATGAGGAAAGAGAGATTTCTGAGCTTCTGAGGCTATAGTGTGTCTTGCCTCCCCCACTCCCAATCCTGTCCTCCTGTTGCCATTATCCTTCACCTTTTTCACAGCTCTGAACCTCCCCGCCCCACCCTGGAGGCTGGACACCTATGGACTGAGCAGGAGAATATTCAATCCCAATATATTCCCAAAGGATGGTGTATCAAATCCAATAGGCTCTTCTCGGTCCTCATCCCTGACCTCTCTGCAGCATTTGGCAATTATTGACAACTCTATTCCTAGATACTCACTCCTTTCATTTCTGGGATGTGGGCAGAAGGTCCTGTCTTTATTTTCTTCCTAAGACTTCCTACATCCTTCTTCGTTTCCTTTGCTGGTTCATCTTTATCTTCCCACTCCCCAAATGTAGGTACCCCTCAAGGCCCATTCATCATACTTCTTCTCTTTAGATCATCCATCTCTACTGGGATGTCTCACCTCAAAGTGTAATGTAAAGAATGCTACCTTCAGAGTCACTGGCTCCCAGAATGGAAGAGTCCTCAAGCAGGCATGGACCTCGGCAGGCATCTAGTCTAATTATAACAACATTCCTTACAAGTGGTTTACTCATCTCTGCTTGGAGACCTCAAGAGACAGGAAACTTACTACTTCCTAAGACAACACGTTGGATAGCTCTCATTTTCAAAATGTTTGTCTTTACATGGAGACAAAATCTCCCTTTCTGAAACTCCCAATCTCCACTGGAGAGGCATAAAGTGCTGGACTGGGCATCAGGAAAGACCTGGGTTGAAATCCCAGCACTAACACTAACAGCTGTTTGGCCATAGACAAGTCACTTAATTTTTCTGAGCCTCAGTGGCCTCATCAATTACATAGGGATGATGATACTTTTAGAACTTTATCAGTCACAGGGCTGTTGGAAGGCTCAAATGATCACACATAAAGTGTATTAAAAGCTATATGAAGGATAGTTATTATCATTGCTCCTGATTCTGCCTTCCAGGGCAAAGCAAAACAATTCTAATCCCTCTTTCATGTGACAGCATTTCAAACTCTTGAAGACAGATCTCCAGGACAGATATATTTTTCCATTCTGTTTCTCATGTGGCCAAGATTGTAAGGTCTCCAACAGGCAGGTCCCAGATCTTCTCCCCTTCTGTTCCCCACCCCACCCCCAGAAGCGAGTTCCCTGAAGGCAGGGCCTGGGTCTGTTCCTCCTCTGTCTCCCTCAGACTAAGTTCCCTGAGAGTAGGGCCTGGGTCTGTTCCTCCTCTGTCTCCCCCCTGACTGTGAGCTCCCTGAGGGCAGGGCCTGGGTCTGCTCCTCCTCTGTCCCCCTGACTGTAAGCTCCCTGAGGGTAGCCTTGGATCTGTTCCACCTCTAAATCATCTACAAGGTAGCTAGGCACAAGGCTGGACAGACAGAGAGAAACAACAGAGGGAAGGAATTTGGTATGGAAGAAAATGAAGAGGTAAGGGACTTAATGAGAACAGGTTTTCTAAAAGCAGTGTTCATGTGTTTGGCCAGAACGAATGGAGGAGAAAGATGAGCAGGGGTAGGAAATGGTCTGAGAGGGAATGAGCCCATTTTAAGAGCAAGAAGTAGGCAACGTGTGGAATCAGGATAAAAAGCTGCCACTCCAGGGAAGGAGGAGACAAAAATGATGGTGGGGCCAGGGATCTCCAGAGGCAGAGGGCCAACTGACCCACACTGACCTTCCAGGTATAGGAGCAGGGGACTGACCTACACTGACCTTGTGGGAGGGTGTGACGCAGGCTCCAGTACACGCCCAGGCAGTCCTTCTCCCGTTTCATGCCCCTCCGACATTGGCAGCTATAGAGACTGCTGGACAGCAGGACTTGGACTGTGCTCTGGCATTGACTTTGGGCATCAGGCCCCAGCTTGGCTGCACCATCTCCTGCCACACACTGGCGAAGGGTACGGAGCCGGGCACTGCAGCCGGCATCCCGGGCACAATGCTCACTGGCCTTCAGGCAGTCCTGATCCCTCTCTGGGCTCAGAGAATCATATCCCAAAAAGGCCTCTGTGGAAGAGGGAGGAAAAAAGATGGAGGAAAGCAAGAGTCGGAGAGACACACAACAGATAGAGAGGGAGAGGGGAGTGGAAAGGAGAGGAGAGGAGAGGGGAGAGGAGGGGAGGGAAGGGAAGGGGAAGGGAGGGAAGAGGAGGGAAGGGGAGGGAAGGGGAGGGAAGGGGAGGGAAGGGGGGAGGAGATTAGTTAGCACCAAAAAGGCAGACCCACTCCACCAGTCCCTTTCCCTTAGGCCTGAGCAACACTTCAACTGACACTGCTATTCTCATTGAAAATGGTCTCTTGGGGCAGCTAGGTGGCGCAGTGGTTAGAGCACCAGCCTGCAGTCAGGAGGACCTGAGTTCAAATCCAGCCTCAGACCAAATACTTGACACTTACTAGCAGTGTGACCCTGGGAAAGTCATTTAACCCCAATTGCCTAAAGAAAAAAAAGAAAATGGTCTCTCCACAGTCCTCCCCTGACCTTCTGTGCTCATGTCCTTAGTATCCAGGGGGGATAGAACCAATCCACAAGAACACTTCAGTTTGGGGAGAGAGGTAGGATCCTACTCTTGGTGAGCCCCTAGTATGATGAAGAAATAGAAGGAAAGATGGCTGGACCAGCTGGACAGGCCATTTTTGGGTTGTGCACAGGTGATGGGGGAGGGGAAATAACAATGAGCATTTCCCAGGAAGACTCTGGGGGTAGAGCTGGGAAGGAGATGACCAGGGCAGTGACATCTCCCTCCCACCCACCAACCCACCAATATATGCCTAGATGTGAGCTGCAGAAACCAGCATTTGTTCTCAGGTGACCATCTACACTGACCCAAGTGTCTCCATAATATAAGCATTGTCCGAGAGGTGGAAAATGAGGGACACATTGTACTCTGTACAGAGTATGGCCAGACCATGTATGGAGCATTGTGTCCATTAAAGGAAGGACATTAAAAGCTGGGGCCTACCCAGAGCAAAGCCTTCAGGATGGATAAAGGACTGGAGAGTGTGCCATGGGAAGAACTGATAGAGGCCAGGTGTAGTATTGAATATAGGGCAATGAGGCCGCACACACTGTCTATGCGACCTTGGGCAAGTCACTCGATCTCTCATTGCTCTCACGCAACTCCTTAAGACTCCAGGTTGCAGAAAAGATGTTGGTCTGCATTGATTAAGGAAGTTCCTTCCCAGGAGCTCACTTTGAAATCAGAGATCTGGTTTCTAAAAAAGGCAAGAATTGAAGGAACATGGGGTTTTAGCTGGGAGAAAAGACGATTCAGGCAGGGCATTTGAAGGGCTGTCTTGTGGAAGAAGCAAATTCAAATTTGATGTCAGGAAAAGGCTTCTTACTGTTAGAGTGGTCCTGAAAAACGATGGCCTCTTTTTTGGGGGGGGCCCTTCCTTATCCCTGGACACCTTCAAGCCAAAGCTGCTTGGCCTCTTGTCCAGAACACAGAAGGGAGGCTCTTATCTCATTAGGGACTGGATGAGGTGACCTCTGAGGTCCCTTCTGCTCTGAGGGTCTCTGACACTAGGTCTTGCTCCCATATTGCTGAGAGGGAGTATAGAGGTGGGCCAGGATCGCTTTCCAAACTTTTCTCTGCTCTGGGACCTGCATGGGAAATAATGCAGTTTTTGTTCATGGGTCTTCCTCTACCTAGAATAATCCCCCCCCCAGTCAAAATACAGCCCCTACTTCAAACTCTCCTTCAGATGCCACCTGGAGGAAGTGGCACCCTGGCCAACAGTAAGCTCCCTTTTTTTCTGATTCTTTGTGTTGCAGTTAACCTGTCTCTGTATTATCTTCCTACCAGACTGGGAACTCCCTGAAGTCAGGTCCTGGAACCTGTTGATGTCTCTGCCTCCTCCTCAGCATTAAACCCAGGGTTGTCTACACAGTAGGTACTCAAGAAATGTTTGAATGAATGAATGGAGTATAAGGTGAAGCAGATGTTCCTAGCATAGCAGTAAAGATAGGAAGGAGGAGTCTCCTTCTTTGAGAGATCCAGTCTATCATATCTTCTCTGAAGGTCATATGAAACAGGGAGAGATAGCTAGACTGGAGAGGAGAAAGACAGAGATACAGAAGGAGGACAGAGAGAGACCCAGAAAGAGACAGAGAGCTAGACAGGGACAGATGGACAGAAAACAAGGGAGGGAGGACATATCAGAGATACATATAGAGAGACAGAAACTTATTTCAGATTACTCTCCATTCACCCACTCTGGGTCACCTGGTCAGTTTGCTCTTCCCTGAATTCAGCTTTCATTACTCACCTCTGTGCCTTTGCCTTTGACAGCACATTAAGGGTATGATGTAGCCAATTATACCCTTGGCTTGGACTTGACCTTTAAGAGAATAGCTGAAGAGCAGGAAACCTGCACATGGGAAAGACCAGTGCTGAGATGAGCAGAAAGAAGCCAAAAGGGCAGACACAAAGACTCTAGCTTCCTAGAGGGAAGCCTGCACCTCCACATGGCCAGAAAGGCCCTCCAGGAAACCACGTGTATCAGAGGATCCCATGGCTCCTAGGATTCCAGGAGGCAGGAGCACAGTAGTAGAGAGCTCTGGGACTCATTGGAAGCTGCTGGCATGAGAGGCAGAGCCACAGAGGTACGTCTAGATGAGGACACACATTCCTGGAGCAAGCGTTATGGGCTTGGGGAAGGGATTCTTGGACAACACTGAGTTACTGGACCAAGGAGGACCCAAGCCAAGATGCAGCAATGGACAGAACCATAATTTAATGCAGCTAGTGCATATTTTACCCTTCATTGGGAGCTGAGCGTTGGGTGGACTGTATAGATCCAGGGGAAAGGAGATGGTTCTGTTTCCCACTTAGCACTAGCAACTGAATGAGCTTTCCTTGTACAACAACCCCAATGGGAGGGTAATAAGTTAGAGGGATGCATAAGTCCCTAGGGGATATGGGACTCACTTGAAAAGGAAAGAGGGTTGCCTTGGCTGTTCATGGGCTTGAGTACAAGTCCTCTGCATTTTTTTGATCAGGTTAAATAAAGCCTGTGCTATGGTCAATGTTAGCCCAATAGTTGATTTCAGTTCCACACTTCTTGTTATGTGAGCCTGAGCGCTTTCACAGAAGCCGAGGGCTGTTCTGCTAATATGAGCTAAATACTGATGTTTCTAGGGAAAACCCCACCCAGAAGCAAAAGCCACAAAGAGTGTTTGTGAATGATACTCCCAAGATTAAGTAAACCAGTCTATGTAAACCCAGAGCTTCCGTTCTAGGTCATCAGATACAACTAGATGCATGTCACTGAGGTCCCTTTCAACTCTGGCATTCTACGAACCTATATGGATGGGAAGAGACAGAGGCAGAAGGGGAGGGGAGAGAGACTGAGGCAGAGGAGGAGAGTGAAAGAAACAAACCTAAGCTGAGACCCAATGAGAGGAGGAAAGTGAGACAGACAGAGATAAATGACAGAGATAGGTAGACAGACAGACATAGGAGGAGAGAAATGGAGATAAAGAAGTTCCTTTCTGCTAGAGGAGGTGAAGGAGGAAGGGAAACTGTGGTGGTGTGTCTGGGATGGGCAACCATAGCCACATAACACATTTGCCAGGATGTTCCTGAGGACTTCCTTTGGTCACTGTTCATCAGCCCTTTCCCAATGGGGAGAGAACGGAAAGCAGACTATTAATGCCAACAGAAACGCTGACCTATGAGGTGGGGGAGGGGGCAGGCTTCCAATGCTGAGGAGCAAGAAGGAGCTGGCAGGAGTGAGGAGAAGCTTCCAGGGCTGGCGAGGAGTTAGCCCTTAAGGGCACAGAGACCCTAAAGATGGTCTTCCCCCTTTGCAGCCTTCCTTCTTATCAAGCCCAGATTCTCTGCTCCCCACCCCTCACTGTTAAAGGGCAGGAGCTGTGTCTGTCCCCCTCCTCAAATCTGGGGAAATGGAGGCAGATGCTAGATGTGAGTCTGTGGAGAACACTCATCTCTCTCTCTCTCTCTCTCTCTCTCTCTCTCTCTCCCTCTCTCTCTCTCGCTTTCCTACCCCTGAAGAAACTCAGTTTGGATGGTCAATCTGCCTGGATCCCCTGGGGGCCCAGGACGGGGTGTGTGTGTGTGTGTGTGTGTGTGTGTGTGTGTGTGTGTGTGTGTGTGTGTGTGTGTGTATGAGATAGAGACAGAGACAGAGACAGTGCATATGTATGGGGTGGAGGGCACTGCTGGGCAGAAATAGAGGCATTTAAGCAGTGAGTCAAGCTAAGAAATCCTGTGGTGATGAAAAATGTGCCCTGGACTTGGAATGAGGGGGCTTGGATTCAGACCCCAGCTTTGCCAGATATCACTGTGACTTTGGACAAGTCACTTCACCTAGCTGAGTCTCAGTTTCCTCATCTGTAAAATGAGGGGGCTGGACTAGATGCCTCTCTAAGGTCTTTCTCAGCTCTAAATCCTTTGATTCCATGAGGCAGTCAGGGTACCATCCTGGAAGAGGATTCTGATATAGATCTCATGAAGGAACCCCAAGACCTTATTTGGTGTCTCTAGAAGGAAGAGTACAAACTAGCATCCTTGTCCCCGGCTCCCACCCCCCAAAAAGAGGTTCCTAATACCCATTCTGACTGGCAGTTTAAAATCATGTCTAACTATATTCCTTCCTGCCGCAGCATTGGTTATGCCCTGTGTCTCTGGCCTCAGAGAAGGTAAAGGACAACAGGTCCCATTCTCCCAACCTTGTGACCCAGCAGATTTGAAGGAGGGATTGCAGGCTCAGGCAGTAACCCCTCCCCCCCCCGGAGGCCAGCCTGAACATCTGGTCCTCCTGTCTCCTGCCTCTCTCCCAGGAAAGGGTTCCCTGAGGAGAGTACCTGACACTCAGGCTCCTCTCTCCCCAACTGAGGTATGGCTGGGCCTGTAGGTATTTGTGTTTGGGGTAGGGTCGAGAGCACTGAGGAGAATCTCTGTTCCCAGAATGCACTTCTCCCTTCCCTGCATCCCACTGCAGAGAAACCTGCCACACAGACAGTATTTCAGTCATGTGCTCTG